CCCCAAAACCCCAAAACCCCAAAACCCCAAAACCCCTCAATTTTCATAAACTAGATTTCATAAATAACGTTATTTTTAAATTAAAATGGCGAAATGATCGATAATGAGCTTGCTGCTCCTTCTACTCTCAACAGCATATTGCTCAGGTATTTAGTACATCTGAACTTATAGATATCTCAGAACGACTAAGCAGCTCGATCTACAAGCTTAAGAGCGATACAGATCCTGGTGATAAATTTGGAAATTGTCGGTACTGAATCTTCTCAGAATTTTGCAAGGTCTGAAAATCAGTGTCACCCTTCTATGGAACTTCGATGTCTATCTGCTCTAAAAAGTCAGCTGATAATCCCAACTGTGTCGAAAATGACCAAAATACATGTACAAAATTTGAGTCGAAACTTGAAGACAATCTGATTTGTCCATCTACCTGTAACTATAAATAAATTTAACATCAAAGCAAATCAGAAAGTTCCATTTGAATACTCTGGAGTTGGACCTCAAGATCTTTGCTACTACAAAATTAAAGCTGATGCAGATATTGACTTCTTTAAAGTCAAAGTTGGTGACGATAGTTCAAAAGTGTTATACACCCTCTTCTCTGAAGACAAAAACAAAAAGTTACAAAAAGTTAGCAGTACTCACAAAGGAACCATCAGTGTTTATGCCAAGTATAATAAGGACTTTATCCTCCTCACATTGCCAAAAGAGGATAATAACAAAATCAAGTTTAGTCTTGAAAATAAAGATAAAACCAAGCACCCTGAAGAAAGCTCAAACACTTTATTAATCCTCTCACTCGTACTTTTGACAGTCTTGTTAGCAGCGATCGGAGGGTCTCTAGCTTATTTCTTTCTGTTCAGGAAAAAGGACAAATATGTACCACAGGTCGACACAGATGACACTTTTGAAGGTAACACTACCACAAACAGAAGCCGGGCTGTCTCTGAGCAGTTCTTCACTCATCGAGATGATTTCAGTAAGCCAAAATCCTGATTAACATAGAATCTAATGAACTCAAAACAAAATATATTTTCAGTACTACCCAATACAGACAATTGCGTGAGAAAATTTATCGGTCTTTGATAATCCAACGTGAGAAAAGCAAAACTAAAACCATCCAACAAGAAGACAAAGAATTTGAAGCAGATGTAATTGCTAACAATAGCGCTAGAGCTCTCTTCAATTTCTTAAGAACCAATGAAGCCAATAGGAACAAAGTAGGAAGAACTTACATTCCATGTCTGTTCATACCGGATGAGTCAACTTTCTTTAACCACAAGAAGACTAGGTTTTCGAAAATTTTGAAGAACAAAATTTATAAAGATCATGGTATTCACAGGGCCAAGAGCTATGTCAATATGATTTTTAGAGATAGAGACGTAGCTGAGAAAATGGATGAATGAGTCTCTAATTTTAAGAAGGGTGAAGAGACAGATATAATCGCACTGGAAATGCTCCAAGTTCCTGAGTTTCATTACATCCTTTCAATGGCAATGATCTTCGATGTTATCTCTACCTTTGGATACAAATTAGACTTGATTTTTACAAGAGAATTCGAAAAAGTTGCTGCTGGAACGTACACTTTTGTTCTTGATCAATGAGGTTGTTATTTGAATCTCCTCGTGAATGCTATCAATAAACACTCTGAATTCCATACTGGGAAGATAAAAGATCATATCACCAAGACTGATGTTAAGCAAATCAAAAATTTTTCAATGCATGATACTCTCTTCTCATGCACATTTTTCAATACCTTCAAAGGTGACAGCTGGGATGAAGATAAAGGTGAAATTAAGATTTCATTTGGGGACAATCTGAAGCAGTATGTTAAATTTGAAAAAGTCTCAAGGAAAATCACGACTAACCATGATGATGAAACTCTTGTGAACACTTACCAGACTTTCCAAGTTTGTGAAGACATTCATCAAAGTCTATTCCTTAAAGCAATGTAGATTCAATTAAAACAGCCGAATCCGGGGTTTTGGGGTTTTGGGGTTTTGGGGTTTTGGGG